AAAGCATCATTGTGTTATCACAAAATATATAAGGCAAAGGGATGTGCACCAAAATAGTAACAGTTTGTTATAGAACTATAATTTTTAATCTAGTTTCCAAATCTCTTATAATGTTGACATAATGTTTTAATGGTAAAATATTAAAAAGATAAGATTTTACTATTAATGTCATTAACTATGTTAAACTTAAATCTGTGTAGCATTACACAAAGCAATTTAAGACGATAATCAGTTTATAAAGTTGTCTACCATGATGAAATATAGCAATCATATCATTCTTACAATACAGGAATATCAAAAATTGGAGGTAGCAAGTAAGCTAAAGAAGAGGAACTTGTCAGCAAAAATCTTAGAGCTAACCACTCCCTGGGTGAGAGTGCTAAATGAGGGACACATTTGACAGGGCCCTATATAACATACCTGCAACCAATACAGAATATACATTTTATGGTAGGGAGATCAAAACAAATCAAGCAGGAGTCTGGACTTAAAAAGACGACATTCACAATTGGTACTGGAACAACTAAGATATTCATATGCCAAAGAATAAAACTGGATATCCTTCCATATATCATACATAAAAATTAACTTGAAATGGATCACAAAGATAAGACATAGGAGACAAAATTATGACATTTAGAAAGAATACAAACAATTCATCAAGATATTGGGTTAAGCCAAAGCCTCCTATGACATTAAATATCAAAAGCAAAAAATAAATAAACTGGATTTCATAAACATTAAAAACTGTACAGCAACAGTTAAGAAAATAAAAGACATCAAGAAAGTGAAAAGAAGAATCACAGAATAAGGCAAATTATTTATAAATCACATTATCTGAGAAGACACTGATATGCAAAGAACTCCTTCAACTTCACAGTAAAAAGACAACACAATTTAAAAATGGACAAAGGATCTGAATACACTTTCCTAAAGAGATAAATGATAACCAATATCCACATGAAAAAACAAATCAAAACTACAATGAGATGAAACTTCATATCCACTAAAATAAAAAAGATAATAACAAGTGTTACCAAAAATATGGAGAAATTAAGACCATCATACATTGCTATGAGAATGTAAAAGTGGTGCAGACTCTGGGAAAGTCTGGCAGTTCTTCAAATGTTAAACAGAGTTACCACATGCCTAAAAATCACACTTCTAGGTATACCCCTGAGAAAAATTAAAACATAAAACTAATACAAAAGCTAACACAACTACAGGTAACAGCAGCACTGTTCACAACAGCCACAGTTTGGAAACAACCTAAATGTCCATGAAACTACTGCTGTTCATGAGTGATTAGTGATCAAAATTTTAGCATTTGTATTATGAAGCAGGAACCTGTATTTTAAAAATAGGACAGACCCTAATATCTACAGAACTCTTCCAAAATTAAACTTGTGGCCACTAGATAATTTTAAAGATAAAAACAAGAGGCAGACGGCTGGCTGCTTTTCCAAAAGACTTTGTTAGGCAATGGCCTCTGATGGATGAATATGTTTGGAACTTTCAGAATTACTTAGCACATATGGAAATCTACTAACATTACAGGTATGGTTCAAGACAAAAATAAGCATAGTTTTTTAGTGAAAAGTCAAGCTGCTGTAATTTCTCAAACAAAAAGGTAAAGACAAAATGAACAATTTGGAATCACAGAAAGAAAATAAGTGATGATGGGAAACCAATAATTGGCAAAGAATATAGTTAGGCAACATAGCTAAATGGATTTTCTTAAAAAATTAGAATTTTAGAGAACAATATATAATCTCATACCTGCTACCAATTTATTGTTATTTTCTGTTCTCTAGTGCCTCTTCTATCTTAGAAATGGTTAAAAATCGGTACCTTAAAAACATTACTGTGGAGCTGAGCACAGTGGCTCACACCTGTAATGCCAGCTACTTGGGAGGCGAAAGCACTAGGATCACCAAGTTCAAGGTCATCTGGGCAAATTACAGTTATATGTTAAATGTTTTAAAAAGAATGTTGTTTGGGGGGAGGGGTGGCTGAGAATGTAGGTCAGTGGTAGATCACCTCTGAGTTCAATCCCCAGTACCACAAAAAAAAAGAGAGAAAAAAACTACCTCAGAAGATAGAAGAAATAGTAAAGTCATTCTATAAAAAGTGGGAGAGGAATTTAAGATTTACAATTGAGGGTAACTAGGGAAGAGAGCATACTCCCTTAATCAAACCTGTTTAATGACTGTGATGAAGCCGGGGATATAGCTTGGTGGCACAATACCTGCCTGGCAAGCACAAAGTCCTTAGTTCAAGTCCCAGTACCAAAAAAAAAAAAGAATGGAAAAAAAAACAGGAAATAATCGAGATATATGCAAGGAAAGGCCTGGAATCTGAAACAAAAAGCCTATGCATGCCCTGCTTCTGAACAGGGTAAGGAAAAAAGTGAAATCATCTTAGATAGAGAGATGCTAGCCTAAAGATGAAGATAGTTGGGTACCTACTTGTATTTAGGATGTTTACTCTGAAAAAGATCGAAGGTCATCTCTCAAAGAAAAGGTGAAGCCAAAAATGAAAATCCTCTAAGTGATGAGTTGGGATGAAAAAAAAAAAAAAATGAAAATCCTCTAGTAATGATATAGAGGGTCAGAAAAAGCAACTAAAACTTGTAGGATCATATAGTGGCTCCCAAACATTTTATCTTTTACAGAGTCCCGTTAGGGCAAAAGAACCTTAATTCATCTCCACAAAATTCTCTTTCTAATGGAAAAATAATTCAGTGATGGTCATGAGTCATATGTGAATCATAATACACATATTTTGAAGTCGATACTAGACCCAGGCATGGTCAAGTATAACGATAAGCCCAAAGCCCAACACTCTGGGAGGCTAAAACAAGAGGATCACAAGTTTAAGCCCTGCATGCGTATACAGTAAGACCCTGTCTCAAAAAATGCTTAAAAAGAATTGGGGATGTAACAGTGAAAATATCCTGTGTTCAATCCCCAAACCATTAAAGAAAATTGTAGTTGATATAAATATAGTATGTATTACTATTTGGATGAGGACATATGATAACAATAAACTAAATTTATAACATTATGTTAAAAAGTCATTTACCATATAAAACAAGAATGATATTACCTTAAAACCACAAGACAGAACCTGGGATTTAGCTCAGCAGCACAAGTGCCTGCCTGGCAAGCACAAGATCATGAGTTCAGTCCCCACAAAAAAGAAAACAAAAAAAACACAAGACAACACTCATGGTACCCTGATATGGTATCTTTACAGCAGGCTTCAGTGCAACCTTCATTAGACTGACAGTGCAGTTCAGCGGCCAAATTTCTTAATACTGAAATTCTATTAACATTTTATTTTATGAAAACCAAATCTTTTTAACCACTGGTGATACACTTAAGAGAATATTACTAAGTAGCCCCTAGTTTTTATAAAAGACTAGGAAATGAGGATAAGTGACTTTTGAGAGCTTAAGAAAACAGGAAATGAGAGGAGCATGGTGATCACAATCATAATGCCAAGGTGGGCAGAAAGAATTGAGTAAAACAATTAGTCCCAAAAAAGGGAGCTCAAAGTCCCTTTAAAGAGAAAAAAGGCAACCTACTACTCCAAGGATGACATAGGCAGAACTGTGCTAACAATGTGTAGGGGAGAAGGAAGTCAGGCAGCTGAGGACCTGGAGTAGTCTCCAGCCTACTCTTCCTCTCTTCTTTCCATCACTCTTTGATCAGGTACCTCTCTTTGTGGGCATTCCTGGGGGTTGGGGGAAGGGCAATGAGTAGTAACTTTTTGAAGGGAAGAACAATGACTCAAGACTGTATAAAAAGGGTCATGTTATTATCCATGTACTGGTTGCCTGGAGATCAGAACGCATCACAGGCCAATAGAAGGATTCAGTAGTTCTGTACCACAGGTAAACTAAGGGGAAAGGAGAAAGTAGTCCAAGATTGGACTCGGTGAGCGATTATCAACAAGAAGTAGTGGAGATGGTAATCTCCAACTAAGACAGCACAGTATTTAAACATGTGTGGGCTGCGGGTATTGCTCAATAGGAGAGGAATTATTGCCTAGCATGCTCCTAGGCCCTGGATTCCATCGCTAGAACGAGGGTAGGAAATGGGAGGGGGGTCTGTATCGGGCCCACTTCACTTTCTCTGTGACCTTGGGCAAGTCATTCAACCTCTTTGTGCCTTATCTGTCAAATGAGAGTAACAGTGTTACCTACCAAATGGGATTGTCCTATGATTTAAATAAATTATATTTGTACATCATTTAACACAAGGTTTTGCACTAGATATAACAAGTGCTACCTGAGTTTTGTTAAATAAGTTAAAGGTCAGAGTTTGTTTTGAAATCTCCAAATAAAATAGTGCAGAGTAATGGTAACCGGGTGGGGCAGCTCAGATGGGTTAAATGTTCCTCAGCTCTCTGAATACTAAAAGGCTGCATCTTGGGGAAGGGGTCGTTGTCCTCACAGTATTCAGAGAGCACCGGGGCGCTGTTTGAAGGAAACTTGCTTCCTTTCAGGGCCTAGGATTTTCAGGAACTCGTTTTTTGAGTAGTTGTGATTTTTCAGACAAGCATCAAATTTCGCACAACAGACCGCAGAGTGACATTTGTTCTGTTTAAAGATCAGGACTTTCTGCTAAGGAAGGACAGGGGTGGGATCGCTGGGAGAAGGGTGATATCCCCTGGGGGACAGATCTGCCACCATCTGTCTGGCGGTCCCCAGCTTCCCAGCGCTGGGCTGCCCCTGAAGGGAGAAGGAAGGCCACCCCTCTAGGCAGGACAGACGTAGCTTCCCACTAACAGTCTGTGGGGCACAGGGGTCGGGAAGGGACCCCTATCTGGGCTGAACAGAGACCCGCCTCGACCAGGTCCCAGCCTGTCTCTCCACAGGGCGGCGCTGACGCTGGCCTTGTGGGCTGTCGGCCAACACACAGATCCCAGGAAGCCTGCCGGTCCCGCCCGTCCCGCCCATGCCCGCCCGTCGTCGGCCCCGGTACCCACGGTACCTGAGCGTGGGCCCGATGCAGGCCGTGTCGGTGCTCTCGATCTCTCGCAGGATCCGCTCGTGCTCCGCCGCCGACTCCAAGCTCTCTGCCTCCGCCATCTTAGCCCTCTCCATAGACGGGGGGCGCCGGGCACCGCGTCCCCTCTTTCAGCAGGCTCACCTTTCACTCCTCACACTCCCTCTCACCCAAGGTTTCACCGCCGCCCCAGCCTCCAGCAACCCACAGTTCGACCCCTCCCTCAGGAACACCACGCCCCCTTGCGTCATACGTCATGACGTTCGCGCGATCCCCGCTGGGATTTGCAGTCCTCTGAACATTACTGGGCTGGGTCATTAATACCCTGTAAGTGTTGATAGCCCATATACGTTAGAAACAGGTAACAACACTGTTTATATAGTGATGCTCAATCCAGTCAATGGCACTACCTTTACAAATAGTTGTTTAACACCTTTGCCACAAGTGCAAACAGCTCCGTAGGAACGAAAATAAGAAACTAGTCATCTGCCCGACAGAAATCTCACAGAAGGTGGGTGGGGAGCACTGGTCAGAGCCGGAAAATCTAAAACTACGATACAAGGCAGAATTTTGCTTATCGGTACTGCAGAGAATTGCGCTCAAGAATCCCTTCTGGTCGCGAAGATTTCAGGCTTCGTAGGGACAATGTTTGGAAAGTTAGAGTGTGACTGGAAGGTGTAAGGAGCACCCAACAGTCCTCAAGCATTTAATCTGCACTATGGTAAAAGAAGTATTAGTAAGAAATTGGGGCTGGCAAGGCATCGTAAGAGAGAATTTGTGAAGAATTTGATATACTGGGGTGAGGGAGGGCAGTGCCTTAGTCTGATGGGTCTAGCAATCCTATAGACAACTCCATCAGAAGCACCTGAAAACTTTATTTTTTACATACAAAGAGTCCTTTGGAGATTCTGATGCAAGCATCTGCACAACATAAACTCCCTAAAATACAACTTTGAAAATCAGATTTATTGATCAGTGTTAACACAGTAAATGGGAAGCCATTGCAAGCATTTCACAGAGGATTGACATAATTTAGAACCTCGGCATTAGGAAATGTAATCAACAATAAAGGCACAAGCTATGCAGAGAAACAATTCGGAGATAGAGAGACATAGTAAGAGTTGTTAAGGTCTAAACCAGAGAAGCACTAATTAGAATTTTTTAAAAATGAATCAATAGGAAAAACATTATAAAGGAAGAACTGGAAGGGTTTACAGGATAGCAGGGTAAGTATTACTTTAGAGGCAGGAACCAGAGTGACAGGGAGAATAGTGCTGCTATCAAGAAAAAAAAAAGATTTAATCTTTGACAAAGAGATCAAAAAACATACACAGGAAGAAAGCCTCTTAAATAAATGGTTCCAGGAAAATTGGATATCCACATGCAGAATGTTGAGAAGATATACCTCACAACGTACTACAAACTAAAATCAAAAGTAATCAAAGATCTAAAATCAAGAGAAACATTTAATTTGCTGAAAGATAAGATAGATGAAACTCTTAAAGACACAGCTGCAGACAAGGATTTTCTGTTTGTTTGTTTGTTTGTTTGTGTTCTTTAGTTTTGGTTTTTCAGGACAGGGTCTTGCTATGTAGTTCACACTGGCCTTGAACTCAATATGTAGTCAAGGTTGGCCTCAAACTTACAGCAATGCTCCTGCCTCAGCCTTTCAAGTACTAGGATTACCAGAATGCACAACCATGCAGCAAGGACTTTCTGAGCTCACTAAGCAGCACAAAAAGAGTATACTCTGAATCCAAAAATGGGATTTTATCAAATTTTAAAAACTTTTACACAGCAAAGGAAACAATAAAGCGAGTAAAGAGAGAACCTAAAGAATGGGAAACAATTTTTGTCAGCTATTCCTCAAAAAGAGGACTTATCTGGAATATAGAAGAACTCAAAATACTATACCCTCTAAAATAAAATAGTCAGTCAAGTGACTGCCCAAGTCAAGCCCACCTGTAATCCCAGCATTTGGGGGCTCAGGTAGTAAGATCACCATAATAATCAATAAGAGACCCAGTCATAAAATGTGCCACCAAAATGAATAGACACTTCTCAGAAGAAGTACAGATGACCAATAAATATATGAAAAAAATGTTCAACATTACTGACCATTACAGAAATGCAAATTAAAACAACACTGAGATACCATCCTACTTCAGAAAGACTGACTATCATCAAAAAAATCAAATAACAAATGCTGGCAAGGCTGCAGGGAAAATGGAACTCTTTTACATTGTTGGTAGAAATGTAAACTAGTACAACCTATATGGAGATCAGTGTGGAAATTCCTCAAAAATCTAAAAACAGAAATTCCATTTGATCTTGCTATTTTCCTTTTACATATCTTTTTGAAAGAGTGAAAGTCATCATATTACAGTGATACATGCATACCTATGTTTACAGCAGCATAATTTATAATAACTAGATCTTGAAATGGCCTAAATGCCCACCAACAGATGAATGGATAAAGAAAATGTGATATCCCTACACAATGGAATTAGTTCTAGCTGCTATAAAGAAGGACTAATTTTAGGGGCTGGGGATTTAGCTCAGCAGCATAAGCACCTGCCTTGCAAGTGTGTGGTCGTGAGTTTGATCCCTGGTACCAATAAAAAAGAAAAACAGACAAAGAAAATTTTTAAAAAGAAGGATAAATTTGAGGAATTTGTAAATAAACAGACACCCTCATGCTAAGTGAAATAAATCAGACATGTAAGTTTAAGTATTGCATGGGTTTGCTTATATGAGAAACCCAAAATACAAATAAAAGAGCCAAGTAAAAGGCAGACAATAGGAAACAGATCTTTTTCAAATGAGGAGAACAAATGATAGACGATATAGGAAGAAGGCAAGGGAAAGGAGATAAAAAGAAAATTTAAGAAAGACATGGAAATAGAGATTTTACAGATGGGAAGGGGATCAAGAGTTGGAGGGAGCAGAAAGACAAGAGGAAAAGAAAACAAAAAAATTAGGATGGGTTATGCACATGTAGAAACTGCACTATGATAAATGTAATTATTATGTACTGAAAACATAAATGTAATTATTATGTACTAAAGAAAATAAAGAAAAGCCATGGCAAAACAAAATGTAAATTGAGTCTAAGTAATTTGTGCTACAGCCATACTATGAATTATTATCAAATCATTAAAATAAAGATAAGACTGTATTCAAGAATGTGTTACCAGGGGCTAGGGATTTAGCTCACCGGCATAAATACCTGCCTTGCAAGCAGGTGGTCGTGAGTTTGATCCCCTGTACCGATAAAAAAAAAAAGAATTTGTTTCCAAATTATACTGTTGACTAAAAAAAACGAAGTCATGAAACAATATATAGATCACATTCACATTTATGTGTTAAAGAATATCCATATGTGTTTATATATTCATAAAATACTACATAGATATAATATTTCTGAAAGGATATTCCCAAAATTTCTAATAGTAGCAGCATCTAGGAGAAAGGTTGAAAGGAAAGGGACTGAGTAGGAAGAAGGTGATTATGTATCATTTTCATTTTTGGAGTTAGTTTCCTTGTGCATGTATTGCTTTTTAAATACAAATAATCATTATTAAATAAATATGCATTTAAAAATAAACCAGTGGTGAGGAGAATGGGTTACAAATCCTGGTGTGCAGAAATGGAGCAAGTTGCTAACCCTGTCTGTTTCTAGGTAATCCCTGGCTGTCCTCACTTTATTCTATTATTCATGCTTAAACAATTTCAGGCAGATATAGGAGAGGTAAGGAAAAGATGAACTCTTTCATATTTCTAAAGATCTCTTGAAATATATGACAGAGATCCCACTAGGCACTCATTTTAGCATTGGCTAAAAGCTTTTCATCCATCTCAAGAAACTGTATGTAGACCAAACATGTATAGTAAACAATTCTGCCATGGTCAGCATTTTGTCACTTTCTTTTGTTTTGTAATGATTGGTTTTGGTTTGTTGTTGTTGTTGTTGGGTTTTTTTGTTTTTGTTTCAGTCCCTGCAGAGAGGAGATGCCCGGCATCTTACCTACAATGGTGTGTGAGTCCTGAGGGACTGATATAAAAAAAGATGCAGTAAAGATAGACTGTGTAATGTTTTGTGCCCTCCAAATAAAAACAATGTCAGGGGCTGGGGATTTAGCTCAGTGGCATAAGTGCCTGCCTTGCGAGCAGGCAGTCGTGAGTTCGATCCCTGGTACAGATAAAAACTTAAAAAAAAAAAACAGGTCAGGTAAGTGTGGAATGACAAGAAAGATCTGGACAGATTTGGAGTCCCTTTGATTCAATTCCAGCATTAGTTGTTAGCAGCTACGTGTATCAGAATCTCCAGATGTAAGATCTGGTATCGGGGATTGAACTCACAACTGCCTGCTTACAAGGCAGGGACTTATGCCGCTGAGCTAAATCCCCAGCATCCAGATACAAGGTCTTTAGACTGCATTTTGAAAAGAGGGTGGGAGCCCTCACTGGCTGTTTGATCAGCAGAACCATTAGAATAAAATACAAATGTCTCCACTCTGTATTTAAGGCTGCTCATAATTTTTATCCAAGGTACTTTTCCAGGCACAATATACCAAAGCAACACTCCATATACATCAACCACATTAAATCCTTAAAATACTCCTTTACAACAGGTATCATGTGTCCTACTTTATCGATGAAAAACCTGAAACATAGGATAGTACCCCACATCCCACAGCCAGTAAATAGTGAGCTGGTATTCAAATCATGTCCATCTGATTCAAAGGCCCATTCCTAACCAACACCAGTGACGGTGAACCTCCTAGAGACAGGTGCCCAAACTGCAACCCCGAACTCACTCATTTATTACAAAGTGCCAACACCACAATCAAACCTAAATACTGAGGTTTTAGTTTAGAAAACACAATTTGTACATTAACATCTCTTGTCTTAAAAGAAAAACAAATAACACATGTACCATAGGTTCACCACCACTGATAGCCTGGACTGTCCCACACATACCCTCCACTGCCAGTTTACTGTGTGAGCTTATCAAATCATTCTGCCTCTGCATCTGCTTCCACACTATTATAATGAACTGTATCATTTCTGAGGCGTCTTCCAAATCATCTTGGTGATCTCATCAGAAAATCATATTCCCTTAATTACTCAAATGAACTTTTTTTCTCTTCTGCA